GGGTGCCTCCCCGTAGTAGGAGCGGGAGGGCGGTTCCTGGATCGGGAAGGTGCGAACTTCTTCTGCATAATAGCCGCCCCCACGTCTTGGGCTGGGTCCCAGGGGCTCCTCGGACCGGTAGGGCCTGGGACAGTAGCCGTCGAAGGGAGGGCCCGGGCTGGCTGTAAAGCCGCCTGAGTAGCCCTCGGCATCCTCGGTGTAGAAGAATTGGGTGGGGCCCGGCGGGGCGCTGAAGTGCAGAGTGCGGCGCTCCGCATAGTCCCGCGGCCCGGGCAGAGGCCCGTCGCAGTACAGCGCTCGGGGGTCCGCACAGTACGAGTCGCTCGGGGTGGGGGTGCGGGACAGCGCCACGTGGCGCGGCCCGGGCACCGTGAGGCCGTGGAGCTGTGGGACAGTGCGGGCCCAGGGCGCCGCCTCGGTGGGCCCGCAGGGCCGCGAGCCCCGGGCGGCGTGCTGCAGCACCGCGTCGTCCGGCTTGATGTCCAGGCGGCAGCGGACGTGGGGGGCGGGCCCCGGGGGTGGTTCAGGCGGCGCACAGCGGCCGGTGGCGGCGCACAGGGGCGCGATGCGGCCGGTGCCGCCCCGCTGCGGCTGCAGCTTGATGGGGTGCAGCTCGTTGGCGAGCGCGCGCAGCGCGGGGTACGCGGGCTCCCGGCGCGGCGATGCCTCGGCCCGCTTCTCGCGCTGGGCCTCTCGGCCTCGGCGCGGCAGCACCGGCGGCGAGGCGGGCGCGGGCGCCAGGCTCGGGGCCGTGCGGGGCGCGCTCTTGAGCGAGCGCGGCGCCGGGCTCGCCGTCGCGGGCCGGGCACGCGGCGCGGCGGGCTCCGCGGGCGTGGCTCCGAGCGCGCCTCTCGGCCGGCCCGTCCAGCGCCTCCCAGGAAGTCGAAGCTTCGGCAGTGCCGCTTGGTTGAAAGGCGCGGGCGCGGCGCGGCGGGCGGCCGGCCACCGCGCGCTCACATGCGGGCGCCTGACGCGGCCCCGGGGCGCCACCTTGATGTCCTGGTACACGGTCGACACCAGCAGGTCCGGCGGGTCCGTACGGGTCATCTTAAAAAGGTCCCCACACCGGCTCCAGCTCACTCGGGCCTTGCGGGGCTTTTGCCCTGGAGGGAGACGCGGGTCAGGGCGCCCCTCCGCAGCCCAGGCCCCGCTACTCTCGCGCGCTGGCCCGGCTTAACCTGGGCGCAGCGGGCGGAACAGCCCGGCTGCCAGCCTTGGCCACGGTTTGGGCGCTCGCTCCATGCCGGCGTCGGGAGCACCTGGGGAGGAACCAGCTGTGCAAGCCGCCGGGCCCTCCCCTCCCCTCTCCCGAGGCGGGGCGGGGCTTGCGGCGTTCCTGCCCCCTTCAGCCCTGCGCGAGGTCCTGGTCTCCCTCCCGCCCGCACGAGTGACGGCGGGGCCGGCTCCGGGCAGGAGAAGGGTCCTAGCACCCGCGCCCTCTGCCGTCCGCGGCATGGAGTGACGGGCCGTTCGGCACATCCACAGACCTGCCTGCGGAGCGGGCTCACCACAGTCCCCGCAGACCTAGGCCCCCGGCCGGGTGTCCCACTGCAGAGCGACCCCGCTGAGAGTGCATAGCCCGAGGCCGAGTCCCTGGCCCTAGCCCCTCTGCACGAAGTGTCGTCACAACGTCCCACCTGCTGGCCAGGCTGAGCACAGATCCCTGCCCCAGACCTGAGAAGGTGCTTGCACTCCAGAGAGTCCGCCGCATCCAGCCCAGTGTCAACTCCTGCTGGTGCCCAGGCCAGGGAAATGCCCCCAGACAGCATACCTGCCTAAAGCTCCCTTCTCCTTTCCAGATACTCCTCTGACCCCAGCTATCTTGGTGCTTAAGACAAGGTCCAGAGAAAACTTTCCCCAGCCTTGCACAAGCGCACAGGCACACCCTCCGGAGTGCACGCAGCCTGGGAGCCAGGCTCTGAGAGCCATGAGCTCTGGCGCCTCTCTTCCCCCCGGAGGCGTGAAACCAGGCAGGAAGCAGCCCCCCCCTCCGCTTCACAGCAGAGCCCTCCCCACTGTGGCTCCGCAGGGCTCCTTGGAAACCCGTGGTTCTTCAGCCCCCCCACGCTGCAAGATGGGCCCAGGGTTCACATGTGGACCCACGGGCACCTCATCTGTGGTCCCCAGCCTGGGTCCTGCCGTTGGGGAGGGGGTGGTGGCAACGGCCCCGGCCTTGTGTGCACCCCAGCACTCTGGTCCAGAGGAGTTGCCCAAGGTGAGCTGGGGCAAGATGGGCCAGCCTCACCTGGCGGACCCTAGTGGATGGGCTCCCCCGTCTGGATGGTCAACCCTCTATGTCCCAGGTGTACAACCGGCTTTCTGCAGGTTGCTTTCTGGGTCAGGCAGCTAAGTCTGGTCCTTGTCCCCACCCTGGCTCGCCCCACCACTCTTACCCCGATGGCAGGACCATCCACCCTCCTGCTCTTTCGATCCTAAGCTCAAAGGCCAGGCCAGAACCGCCCTGGATGCGGCGTGTGAGGCTCCACCCGCGGAGGTGACAGCGGCCTTGCTGTCAGTGACATCCCCCTCTCGTGGGGGTGGGGTGGGTCGGCCTCTCCCGGGCTAGGTCGTTCCGGAACCCACGTGGAGCCGGGGGGGTCTCAGCCCAGCCTGGAACGGATTCCAGGG